AAATTTGTTTTTGATAGGATGTGTTAACAGATCAATATTTTTAGGAATGAGTGCAATATTTATAACTAGTTTGTTTATAAATATGGATTAAGATCAAAGTAAAGAACCTTTAAATTACTATCTATTGTAATATTTTTAACGTTTTTACCAGAATTAGTTTCATTATATAATCAAGGCAAATTTGTGGATGGAGGGAAATTAGGAGGAGTAGTAAGATTAGGATTAGGAGAAGGATTAGGATTAGGAATGTTTGAAGGAGGAGGATCGGGATTAGGATTAGGAAAAAATCAAGCAAGTCAAGAAAATATACAAGAACAAGCAGAAGAAGAAGTGAAAGTCTATGTGATGAAAATTAAAGGAATCAAGTGTGAAGGATATGTAAATAGAATTAAAAATTATTTTGATCAAAAATCAAATCAACTCCAAAGTGTTTTTTAATAATCAAACTGCTATAATAAAAGTTTGGCCTGTTAGAAGTTCCAATAATAATAATAGTGGAGAAGGAAGAGAAACATTTAAAAGTTGGGTAAAGATGATCAACTTTCAATACAAACCGATTATCTTGCAACAGTATATCATGAAAAAGAAAATTTGAAAATTTATTATTATGATTAATTATAATTGTAATAACTCTTTTAACTCCCACCAGTTGCAATTTCTGAACCCAATGACCATACACATCCCCCAAATAAAGTATTAATTGGAAAGGGAGTGATTTTTTACCATTCTTGATGAAATCATTATAAATTCCATAATGAAAGTCACAATTGTGATTATTTTGACATTTTATTTTTTCTGTTATTACTATAATAGTCTTCATCTTTTAAAGTACAAAATTATATATAAATACCTTTGAATTGAAGTATATAGTAATGGCCATTCATAAAAAAGTTACATGCATTCCATCAATTTTTATTGAGAAATAACCACAAAGGTGATTAATAAATTTGCATTTATTATTATTAAGTCCTTTCTTTTATTATAAAAAAATTAATATATACACTCTATGTATGTATGCATAACATAATATCATGACCAATGAGCTATATTACATAAAAATTTTCTATACATCTTGGAGAAATCATCAGAGCATTCCCAAATTAGTAAAGATTCTAAAAAAAAAAAAATTTAAAATCAATATTATTCCAATAAATTAATAAATCAATAAATTCAATCAACTATTATTATACTTGCTTTCTATCGTTCTACCAACTTTAAAAAATGCGTCTGCACTATGAAAGTGTCCGAGAAATACAATGGCACCTTGTCCAACACCCCAATCAATTAATTCTTTAATATCATCTTCAAATATATATTCATTATTCAATGTTTTACATTGTCCAATTATTGCAATCATTTTTAAATTTTTAAAAACTCGTTGATTATTATCATCATCATGATTGTTATAATTATTATATCCACTACCATTACAACAATAAATTTTATTATTGTTGGATATATCCATCCTATTTATAATACTTTTATTATAATATTCACTCCCACTCCCATTCACAATCAAATTGTCATTTATATTTCCACTCTTATCCCTCTCAACCACCACCATTTCTTCGACATTACCATTTATTAATGAATCTTTCATGTGTTGATCAAATCCAATACAATTACGAAATTTTAATTTTTCTAAATTTTTAAACCTTAATAATAAATGCCATGGTATTATGTAATTGTCCGTGTTTGTGAAATTTAATCCCCACAAATATAAACAACGTAAAGTATTGGCCTGTGTGGCTATTGTTGGAAAAAGAAAATTCGATGCGACATTGGCTACTTTTAATGATTTTAAACAACGTTGTTCTTTGACAAATTGTTGTAATGAGTGCAATTCCTCCTCATAGTTTGGTGGAACATCTTTTATATATACAAATAATTTTTCCTAAATAAATTCATAAACTTTAGATAATATAATAGATGCATGATTTGCGTATAAAAAATACTTACAATATTTTTACATGGTTCTTTCAAGCCCGTTAATAAACGGTCTTTAACAAATTCACCTTGAATTTCTAATTTTCTTATAGGTTCAAACAAATACTCAAATTCTTTCTCGGTAAATTTTAAATATATAAAATCAGGAGATTTCCTTGAAGTCCATTCACCAATCACCAAATGTATCAAAACAGCTGAATGAGTCAAAAACAATCTTAACAGAGCTTTGATCACTAATGAAATTACATTGTATGGTGGTTTTATCAATTTACCACACCAATTATCCACTGAATGACAAAAATTATCATAATCTAATCTTTTCAACATCTTTGCATAATCAAAACTTGGCTGTTGTGGTTGTTGTAGTTGTTGTATCGTTTGATGACAACAATTATGATGACTATGAGAAGAAGATGAAGAACGTGATGATGACAATGATGGTGGTGGTGATGGTGGTGGTGAAGTAGGCGTAGGAAGAGAGTTGTTTATATTTGTAAATGATAATTTTATGCCTTGTTCTTCCAATTCCGTACGTTCCTTTTCATTAAAACATGATATGTAAACATCAATTAGTTTTTCATTGCCTTTTTCGAAATAATAAAATGAATTACACCATAATAATGGTATTGTTGCTTCACACCATTGTCGATTGACTAGTAAACAAGAATGCAAATTTCCTATAGCTTTAAGTTTCTTTTTTTCACTTTTACGAATGAATGTGAATATTATTTGGAGAACATCTAATGGTAACTTTGATGCCATATTTTTAATGATTTCGTATATTGATTATAAATTTTTAATTAATTAATTAATTAATTAATTAATTTTAAAGTATTTAAATTGATTTTTTTTAAAATTTTGGGTTTCGAATTTTTTTTGTGTATTAACATTAATATTAATATTAATTAGAGTTATAGATTTGATTTTTGAGAAAGAGAGTTGCGAAAATTCTCAACCTATTTATATGGCAGCATTCACTAATTTACGTCACACGATTGTAGATTAATCACGGTATTACAAATAAATTAATTGGTTGGTTTATTATTTTGTCAAACAGAGAGAAAAAAAAATTTGTTATCAATTATGTAATATTTATACATAGCCTGCGGCTATATAGTACGTAACAATCAAAAAAATCGTTCGTTGATCAGTCAAAGTATTTTAAAGATGATGGATAGTAATAGATGATTCACATGTGATACGATTATAAAGTGAGAGAATGAAAATTACTTTTACATTGGGTGATAGATAGCATTATTGGAATTAGAACTGTCATCATTTACCGTATGAGTGAACAAATCAATCAGTGTACAATTAGAATAGAAAATCCAACTAAAATAACGATAAAATTAATTAATTAAATTTAATTATTATAAGCTTGTAAGCCACAATTTTATCAAAAGCTGTATTCTGAAAAATCAAGAATTAATGACCAGCTTTAGCGTCATAAATGTGTGGACTATCAACAAAATTTCAAAGAACAAAACCCATCGTTAAATCAATCAGTTATAATTAATTCAAAAGAAAAGATTATTATTAAAATTATCTTCAAGAATGCCTTCCGTTTAATAACAGCCTTGACTTCATTGGTGAGATAATTATCTAAAGCAATCCAGTAAGCTTGAAACTTTTAGCAGATGAAAGAATACATATTAATATATACCAGTGAAATTATTCTGTGGTACAAATTTATAACGCCACACCTGTACTACTAATATATTGCTTTGGACAAGTATATCTTTTAATTTTATCTTTCATAAATAAACGGACACTGTTGTAAAAATATACTTGGTACATATGTTCCAATAATGAAAAGGATAAGGTTTATATTAGAAATATTAGAAATTATTGATTTTCTGTTTTGAATTCATAAAATGAACAATAAAAAAATTTGGAATTCCATCCAACGTATTAAAATATACTTCTAAACTAGATTTAATATCAAAGTATTGAAGCCTTTCCAGCATCACAGCATTGAGTTTATTCTATTACAGCATCTACAATTGTTACTGTTTTTAGATAGA